CAGCCAAGTATCCTAGTGCTGAGAATCTTTAGTACTATTCAGCCTAATGAAGTGGTATCTCAGCATGGTTTATCTTGCATTTCCTTGATGGCTAATGATAGAGAATCCTTTTTTTTTTTTTAAGATTTTATTTATTTATTCATGAGATACGCAGAGAGAGAGAGAGAGAGAGAGAGAGAGAGAGAGAGACATAGGCAAATGGAGAAGCAGGGTTCCTGTCGGGAACCCAATGCTGGACTCAATTCCAGGACCCTAGGATCACAACCTGAGCCAGAGGCAAATGTTTAGCCACTGAGCCACCCAGTTGCCTCCAGAGAATCTTTTCATCAGCCATATCCAAGCTCTTCTTTGACTGATACTGACAAATCCCTTTCCAGAGAAATTGTGCTAATTTGTAATTCTACCAACAGTGTCATTTTTTTTTTTTTTTAAGTAATCTCTACACCCAACATGGGGCTGGAACTCATGACTCCAAGATCAAGAGTTGCATGCTCTGTGAAGTGTCACCTTTTAAAAATGTTTTCCGGGGGATCCCTGGGTGGTGCAGCGGTTTGGCGCCTGCCTTTGGCCCAGGGCGCGATCCTGGAGACCCGGGATCGAATCCCATGTCGGGCTCCCGGTGCATGGAGCCTGCTTCTCCCTCTGCCTGTGTCTCTGCCTCTCTCTCTCTCTCTCTCTCTCTCTGTGTGTGACTATCATAAAATAAAAAATAAAAAAATTAAAAAAAAAAAAGAAAACTCTTTAAAAAAAAAAAATGTTTTCCGGGCACCTGGGTGGCTCAGTGGTTGAGCATCTGCCTTTGGCTCAGGTCATGCTCCTGGTCCTGGGTTTGGGTCCCACATCCGGCTTTCTGCATGGAGCCTGCTTCTCCCTTTGCCTATGTCTCTGCCTCTCTTTCTATGTCTCTAGTGGATAAATAAAAATCTTAAAAAAAAAAATAAAAATAAAAAAGTTTTCTAATTTGTTATGTGAAAACTGGCATTTTTTAAAACAGATTTTATTTATTTATTCATGAGAGACACACACACAGAGAGAGAGAGATAGACAGACACAGAGACATAGGCAGAGAGAGAAGCAGGCTCCATGCAGGGAGCCCAACGCCGGACTTGATTCTGGATCTCCAGGACCACACCCTGGGCTGAAGGCGGCACTAAACCCCTGAGCCACCGAGCTGCCCAAAGTTGAACATTTTGTAATGTTTAGTGCCTTATCTTTTACTCTTTTATGAATTCATTGTTCATGGCCTTCCCCATACTTGTATTGTAGATCTCTTTTGAATAGTGGAAGTTCTTTATCCTGACTTAGGAGATGCAAATATCTTCCTGGTTTTGTGCTTTTTGATTGTGTTTATCTTTTTCAAGTAGTCAATCACAATATTCTTTTGTGATTCCTTTCATTACTTCTTTGGGGGGGGGGGCAGTAAGATTGATTGATTGATTTTTTTTTAATTTTTATTTATTTATGATAGTCACAGAGAGAGAGAGAGAGAGAGAGAGAGAGAGAGAGAGAGAGAGAGAGAGAGAGGCAGAGACACAGGCAGAGGGAGAAGCAGGCTCCATGCACCGGGAGCCCGACGTGGGATTCGATCCCGGGTCTCCAGGATCGCGCCCTGGGCCAAAGGCAGGCGCCAAACCGCTGTGCCACCCAGGGATCCCTGATTGATTGATTTTTGAGAGAGATAGAGACACATGGGGAGGGGCAGAGAGAGAGGGAGAGAAGCCGACTCTGCTAAGCAGAGAGACTGAGGTGGGTCTCCATCCCACAAATGAGATCATCACCTAAGCCAAATTCAAGAGTCAGATGCTTAACTGACTGAGCCACCCAGGTGCTCCCCTTTCATTACCTTTGAGCCTTGAAAGCCCTTATCTGAATTAACTAAGTTGTGTTTGATCTGGTAAGTGGGGGAAGGGAGCATCAGCATCTGTTGGCATGTATTATTAGCTCTGGAGTTACCACAATTTTTTTTTAAAGATTTATTTATTTATGAGAGAGAGAGAGGCAGAGACACAGGAAGAGGGAGAAGCAGGCTCCATGCCAGGAGCCCAACGTGGGACTCGATCCTGGGTCTCCAGGATCACACCCTGGGCCAAAGGCAGGCGCTAAACCGCTGAGCCACCCAGGGATCCCTGGAGTTACCACAATTAACCAAGTTAACCAAGATAACTTTATTTTCTTCTAGATAGTTTTTCTTTTTTTTTTTTTATAATAACATTTATCTACTTATTCATGAGAGACACATGGAGAGAGGCAGAGACACAGGCAGAGGGAGAAGCAGGCTCCATGCAGGGAGCCCGTTGTGGGACTCGATCCTGGGACTCCAGGATCAGCCTCGGGCTGAAGCTGGTGCTAAACTGCTGAGCCAACGAGGCTGCCCTAGATAGTTTTTCCTTTTATTTTTTTATATGTAACTTTTTAAACAAGGTTCACTTTATTTATTTTTATTTTTTTAACAAGGTTCACTTTAATGTTACAGAGATTGCTTACAAATAAAATCTTAAAAAAATAAATTAGTAAAATAAAAATCCTTGAGGTGCCTGGCTGGCTCAGTCAGTAGAGCACGCACCTCTTGATCTCAGGGTTGTGAGTTTGAGCCCCACATTGGGTGTAGAGATTACTTAAAAATAAAACCTTTTTTAAAAAGTAAAAAATAAAATATTTTGATATTATGGAGTGGCTCCAACTTGAGATCCAAATGGTAATTTTTCCACTACTATTTTTTTAAAGATTTTATTTATTCATGAGAGACAGAGAGAGACAGAGACACGGGCAGAGGGAGAAGCAGGCTCCCTGCAGGGAACCCGATGCAGGACTCGATCCCAGGACTCCGGGATCATGACCTGAGCCAAAGGCAGATGCTCAACCACTGAGCCACCCAGGTGTCCCTCCACTATTACTATTATCATTATTATTGAAAAATCCATCTCTTCACATTGGTTTGCAATGTTTGACATTTTTGTTTTTAGTTATCCTGTTTATGTTCTTCCAGATGAATTTTAGCATCTACCATGCTGCAGGAACCAATTTATTTTTGACCTTTAGCGGTTTGCTCTGTTTGATAGAAGTGTGGAGTTCTCGTTACTTCTTAAATGAAGAACTTCCTCAGGATATCTGAACAACTCTCTTGGGTAGAAGCCTGATGTCAAGACCCAAGAAAACAGAACCAAATTAAATCCAGCTTTCAAAGTGTTCCTGCCTTGTTGGGGTTGCCATGAATGGCTTTAGGTCAAAATTCCAAGGCATAATTCAGGGAATGACTGCAATATATATATATATATATATATATATATATATATATATATATCCATCCCCAGATCTCCTCCCAATACATAAATCTACTATATTAGTGGAGATAGAGGCTTTAACCCTTCAGATCTCTTAGCTAGGAACTGTCCAAAAGAACTTTCTGCTATGATGGAAATGTCCTATGCTACCATGTCCAATACTGTAGCCACCAGCCCCGAGTAGTTACTGAGCACTTGAAATGTGGCTAGTGCACTTGAGGAACTGAATATTCAAATTTCTAATTCTATTTAATTTAAATGTGTGTAACCACATAGGACTTACTGCCCCCACAGTAACTGTTAAGACTGGATTGCCTGTTTTCCTTGGGTCTCAGTTTCACTATTACATTATCATTGCTAAAACTCAAAATACTTTTGACTTTGCTAGGCACTATATTCGGGGAGGGAAGACAGTCACAGTAAGACAGTTTCTGTTCTAGGCTCACAATAGAAGGAAAGAAGAGGTCGGCTTTGTTTTGTTTTTGTTTTTTTATTTAAAAAAATTTTTTTTAAATTTTTTATTTATTTATGATAGTCACAGAGAGAGAGAGAGAGAGAGAGAGAGAGGCAGAGACACAGGCAGAGGGAGAAGCAGGCTCCATGCACCAGGAGCCCAACATGGGATTCGATCCCGGGTCTCCAGGATCACGCCCCAGGCCAAAGGCAGGCACCAAACAGCTGCGCCACCCAGGGATCCCTGTTTTGTTTTTTTAAAGATTTTGTTTATTTATTCATGAGAGGCACAGAGAGAGAGAGAGAGAGAGAGAGAGAGAGAGAGGCAGAGACACAGGCAGAGGGAGAAGCAGGCTCCATGCAGGGAGCCGGACATGGGACTCGATCCTGAGACTCCAGGATCGCGCCCTGGGCCAAAGGCAGACGCTCAACCGCTGAGCCACCCAGGCGTCCCGAGAGGTCAGTTTTTAACCCAGAGACAAGCTAGATCGTTAAGACTCTCTAGTCTTGCCCATCGTGTTCCCCAGTGCATGAGCGGGGCCAGCAGGTGCTGTCATTGCTGTCATTGCATCAAGGGGGTAAAAGGAGGGGGACGCTTCTAGCAAAGGAGGTGACACGCAGGGCTTATAAGGTCAGTTCCCTGCACATCAGAGGTCCAGGCCAGCGGCTCCCTTCTCTGAGACCAGGAAAGCAGGTGGGGAGGCCCCGGGGCCCAGCGGGGTCTCGCGCCGCTTGGAATCGAAGGCTCCCCAAGTACTGGGCTGGAACTAGCAGGGGCACCAACGGGCTTCCTCCTGTACTAACTGCACCGCACCCCCGCGAACACTGAGATCGGGGCTTCCGCGGGCCTGGAGAAGGCAAAGAGGAGAAAGAAACCGAGGTAAGGAGCGTGGCCGGGCTGACCGCGGCGCCTGGAGACAGAGCCCGAGGAGGGCCGGGAGGAAAGGAGGGAGGCCCCCGCTGAGGAAGGTCGGGGAGGTCGGGCAAGGCGAGGGCTCCCGGCAGGGTGGCCCCAGGGGAAGGCTCGCGGCCCAAGGGGCTGCGACCGGGTCACAAGATGGCCGCTGCGTCGCCCGGGCTTTCCGTGCGGGGCCCGGGGACGCGGGGGGCAGGTGCTGCGGGCCCGCGCGGCCGGCGCCTCGCCCTGGGCCTCGGAGCCGCGGCGGCGGCGGCGGCGGCGGCGGCGGCGGCGCGCGCGCGCGGGCCGCCGGGAAGTTGGGAGAGCGGGTGCGGGAGCGCGCGCACGCGCACGTGGGCCGGGTCGCCTCCCTCAGCCGCCCGCGCTCCCGACCCGGCGCCTCAGGAGGGAGCGGCCAGTGGGCCCGCATCCTGTCCGCGGGGTTCGAGGCCGGGCTGCGGCGGCCACCGCCCTCTGGTACCTGGGCCACCGCGAGGAGCACCGGCCGGCGCACGGCGGGCCGACTGGCCCCGGAGAGCTGACACCCGCGGGACTCGAAGGCGGAGGCGCTCGTCCGGAGGTCGCCGGGAGGCGGGAGGAGGCCGAGGGGACCATGTCCGGGAGGAACCGCCACCTCTCCACCACCGAACGCGTCATCAAAGGTGCCGGGCGGGGCGGGCCGGGCCCTCGTCGTCCCCCCGCGGGAAACGGCCCACGGCAGGGCGACGGCGGAGGGACGGAGGGCGGCGGGGACCCTGGCTGCGTGGGTCCGGGAGGACAGCCTGGAGGGGGTGTGAGCGACGGGAGGGGATCCCCGCCGGCAGGCCCGGGGCGTCTTCCCTCGCACCTCAGGCCGCCTCAGGCCGGAGCTCGCCGGGATGGCTTATCCACCTCCCGCCGTCCTGTGGGACTTGCAGGTGGGATGGGGAGTTCCCCCGCCACCCCAGAGGGCCGGGACCCCATCTTTTTTTTTTTTTTTCCTTCAATTCCTCTATTCTCGCCTTTTAACTGGTGAAGCCATCTAGGGTGATGTAGTAGATTCCTCCAAGTCAGATCTCTCTCAGCCGCTCCCCTTTAGGACCTGGTCATCTCGCCCTTCCCCCACCTTTTTTTTTTTTTTTTTTTTTTTGAGGAGGTTTACCAAGTACCTTTTGGCCCACTTTCTACAGATCATCCTAAATTACTGCTGTTATGAAAAGAAACCATTGGTGAAATAGACACAACTAAATCCATTTTGTGATGCTTTAGAGGGATTTACAGATCTCTTGACATGGTGTTTTTAGTTTTTGGCTGTAGAGACTTGGAGAAGGACGTTCTCTGGTTCAGTCTCACCAAAAATTAGGTTGTTCCTTACGGATACTTGGGTGTTACACTGCAGTTGTTTCTGCTTTTTTTTTTTTCCTTTAAAGATTTTATTTATTTATTCATGAGAGACACACAGAGACACAGGCAGAGAGGGAGGAGCAGGCTCCATGTAGGGAGCCTGACCTGGGACTCGACCCCGGGACCCAAGATCCCAGGATCACGCCCTGGGCTGAAGGCAGGAGCCAAACCACTGAGCCACCCAGGGATCCCCCTGTTTCTGCTCTTAAACTATGGATACTGGTTTAAACATGACCACTATTTTACGCACTTCTTTTGTTCGGCGGTAGCACTTTTAGGTAAAGACTCTTCTCTCTTAACTACCGGTTTTGAAAGCACTGGTTTTATAAGAAGGGAGTATGCTTCGACCAGCTGTTTTAGTGGCTTCTGGATAAAGGGGTTGGCTGTGAGTGGGCAAAACTATCAAAATGTATCCTGTCTCCAATATTAGTTTCCTTTCTCCTTCTAATCACCAAAATGGAAAAAATAAAAGTGTTTTAAGTGGAAAAGCCTACTGAATGTTCAGTGAAGAGACAGAATTTTAGTGTTTGACTTAGATTTTTTTCTCCCTAAAACATGAATCATCATAAATGTTGATCTTCTGCACTGCTAAATTTTTGCGTGTAACTAAGTTTTTCCCCCCCTCTAAAAAGTCAAGATCCTAAGTGATGATCATAAACACTGATGACCTGTATTATGTAATATTCAGTGAATATAATGGGGTTTTTGAAATTTATCTACTCAGTTTGTCTGATATTATTAAGGGTCTAAGTGAATTAATTGTTCATATGACTGACAGCCGTTTAACAGCTAAATAATTTTGGCCATTTTAATGTCAGTTTTTATAGTATATAACCCATAAAGAGTATAATAAAACTTCTCTTAAGATAAAGAATATACTAAACATAACCTTTTTGGATAAATCAAGGTCAGTTGTGTACATTAATTTCTGTCCTCTGATGTTAACATGGCTGGTGCATTCTGCTGTAGAAGGGTGTTGGCACTTTCCTCCTGTACCAAAATGACTCCTTACTGCTATTCTATTTAATAATGCTTTTGTCTGTTTTTAGTTTATATCCTGCAGTACTGTTCTTTATCTGTCAAAATATGCCCTTTTAATCTGCTATTTCTAAGCTGAAGGAGGCAGGGAAACCAGATAAACCAGAATTGTGTGTCAAGTCAGAATGAATAGGATCTCAGTGAAGCTTAGTGTCAGCCCTCAGACCTTCAGGAATCTCAAATTCTGATCACCATTGTAGCATGTAATTTCCACCGTAAGATGCCATGAGATATAAAGGAAATTTTCAATTTTAAAATAACCCTTTCAGACCCTGAAGTATAGAAGTAAAGTAAAATGAAATGTAGTTAAAAAGCAGGTGCTGTCTTACTGCTAGGCATGCTCACAGTTAAGTAAACACGCTGTATAATTTTTGTTTTTTAGGAGTATATTGCATGTTGTATACTTACAAGATTACTCTTAAATAAATGAAATATAATAATTTCAAGCCATTACTTAGAATGTGTGGATTTATCTTAAATATAAAAACTGTAGTGTAAGAACTTGACCTTAGCAATTTTGGCTTCTCCGTGACTTATGTTGCTTTTTTTTTTCTGGGTTTTGCAGAGTTTGAAATAGTTGAGATTTGTTCAGTGAAAGGTGTCATTGTATATGTAGCTAAGACCCATTGTATTGGGTACTAAATCCTGATCTGATGTTATCTTGTCTGGCCAGAGTTGTCTGCATTTATTCACAGCTGGAAATCTTTTTCAGAGGTGAGACCACACCCCAGTTATTTTTGGTTCTGTCATTTCCTGTTAACTTTAAAGTCTGCTTAATTGTTTTCTTTGAACAAATCTTGAAGAAGAGTGGGAGGGAATGACTAGTATTTTAAGTGTCCTTTAAACAGCAACTTTCCTAAAATGAAGAAGGACTAGATGGATGGTCAAGAAACCTAGGTTTTACTGCATCTGGAGCTTACTTGTGACCTTGCCCTTTTTTTTTTTTTTGACCTTCCTTTTTTACTTAAACTCCCCCCCCCCCTCTTTTTTTGCTTCAATAATCTCACTGGCAAAATAGGGTTGCTAAAATCATTGTCAAGCTTCAGAACCATGCAAATGATATAACTGACATGAAAAGCTTAAGACAGGTTGTATTATGAAACATGATAGTTTGATAATAGATCAGTTTCTACATAAGTGGTTAGTAGAGAAATCATTAACATTTTTAAAAGATTGATTGATTGATTTGGGGGGGTATGACTTGGGGGAGGGGCAGAGAGAAATGAGAGAGAATGGTAGAGACTCCAGGCTGAGTGTGGAGCACTGCGCTGTGCTCCATCTCACAACCTTGAGATCATGCATGACCTGAGCTGAAATCAACTTAACCAACTGAACCAACCAGGTGCCCCTCATTAACATTTTTTGAGAAATCAACACTTGAAAAAGTAAGAATTAGAAAGTATATGAAATTATAACATAGGTTGGAAAACTGTTCCAGTCAGGAAAATACCTGTTCTACAATTAATTTTTTTATTTTTAAGTAATCTCTACACCCAACATGGGGCTCAGATTTACAGTCCTCTTGATCAAACGCCTCATGCTCTACTGAATGATCCAGGCAGGCGCCCCTCCCCTTCATATGATTTAGAGGATATCTGGGTGGAATCTCATGTGTAACAGCATGAAGAGATCAATACATTTCCGTCTAGTACTTTCTTGGCAGCTGGTTTCTCCCCTAGCAGTCGAAGGTGTTTGTTTTATGTTTAAAAATATAAAAATTCTTAGGGTTTCACTCATTCGTTAAGTGTTTATGGAGAGCCATCTGCAGTGTGTACCAACAAGTGCTCATTTGTTTCTTTTTTGTTTTTAAAGTAACAGTTCTGTGTGCCTCTAGAATAGTCCATATACACTGTGGCATCAATGCTGTTATCTAGAGCAGAAAAAAACCCCCAGAAACTCAAATGACTGAATTGTGAAGGTCTTTCAGCTTGATCTCTTTCTTTCTTTCTTTCTTTCTTTCTTTCTTTCTTTCTTTCTTTCTTTCTTTCTTTCTTTCTTTCTCTTTCTTTCTTCTTTTTTCCTTTCCTTTTCCTTTTCCTTTTCTCCTTTCTGGCTTCCAAGTTCTTTTCCTGTTTAAGAAAATTTTTTCCTTTGACAGTGATTTTTTTTTTTTAAAGGTTTATTTTCCTGTGCTGAATCTTTTCTGAGCAATAAAGAAATTTCACTAGGAATTGCATGACAGATATGGAGAATCCATTGTTGTTGGTCAAATGATGTTTCACAAAAAGTCAGATTTCTTTTCAGTAGGATGCTGATACATTTCTTCCATTCATTTGGAATTCAAGTGTATTGTATATTCACAAAATGTACGGTCATTTGTAGCACACAGAGGCTACTGATTTTTGTATATCCTGCCAATTGGAAGAGTGTAGCTATAGCTTTCTTAAAAGATTTTAAGAATAGTATGGACCAAAATTGCTATTTTCACAAGTATACCCTGAACTGTTTCAGTCCTTGGTACCTATGCCTCATTTATTTATACAGCTCTTATCCTCTCTTGCCTTTTTCTGTATTATGAGAATGTGTTTACCAAGGGTTTGGTTTTTGAATTTTCTTTTTAAGATTTTATTTATTTATTCATGAGAGACAGAGAGAGAGAGAGGCAGAGACACAGGCAGAGGGAGAAACAGGCTTCATGAAGGAGGGAGCCCAACGTGGGACTCGATCCCGGGTCCCCAGGGTCAGGCCCTGGGCTGAAGGCGGTGCTAAATCACTGAGCCACCCAGGGTGCCCCGGTTTTTAAATTTTTTTGAATTTTTATTTTTTTAAAGATTTTTATTCATGAGAGACACAAAGAGAGAGGCAGAGACATAGGCAAAGGGAGAAGCAGGCTCCCTGTAGGGAGCCCGATATGGGACTTGATCCCAGGACCCCAGGATCATGAGCCAAAGGCAGACACTAAACCACCGAGCCACCCAGGCATCCCAAGTTTTTTTTCTTTTTTTTTTTTTTTTTTAATTTTTTCTGGGATGCCTGAGTGGCTCAGCAGTTGAATGTCTGCCTTTGGCTCAGAGCGTGATCCCGGATTCCTGGGTTTGAGTCCCACATCGGGCTCCTTGCATCGAGCCTGCTTCTCCCTTTGCCTATGTCTCTGCCTCTCTCTCTCTCATGAATAAATAAATAATATCTTTTAAAAAATAATTTTTTTCTTTTTCTCATTATTCTTAAAGATTTTATTTTTATTTTTTTAAATTTTTATTTATTTATGATAGTCACACACACAGAGAAAGAGGCAGAGACA